TCCCTCTTTTTTTTTTTTTTTAAAGCACCCCCAAAAAAAGAAACCCCTCTTTGCGCCCCCTTTTACTCAAAGGGGGGGGGGATTATGCCCACATTCTCCACCAGGTGTGGCGGGATACCACCCGTCTCCGTCCCCTTTCCCCTGGGGGACAAAGCGTTAACCCCTAGCCTGGGGGCCTAGTCTGCACTCGCAGCAGGCCCAGCGGCCTAGTCCAGCACTGCGGGGTGGGGTAGGGGGGGCCGGCCCCTCCCTCTCCACCGGACCCCAACCCAGGGCCCTAATGGTGGTGGGTGGTTCCCCAGGAAAGATGAGTTTTACTTCCTTCTAGTTCAAAAATTTACTGAGACCTATCAAAAAAACCAAGTATGCAATTCAGCAGTTAGAAACAACTCATCAGATTATTTTTGTTGTCTAGAGTATATCATTCAGCCAAATGGGGCTGTTCTGGGAACTTTAAGATCATTGGTATTTATCCATTCGTATTGGGCAGGATTATAAAAATCTGGCTTGATCAATTCCCTAGATTATAAAACCCTGTAAAGAGTTAACCAATCTGTTATATTAAACTGTCATTCTTTGAGCTTATTGCTTTAGAAAAATTATCTCTGTGTAGCTCTTACTTTATGTAACTAGTAATGCCTCCAAGCTTTAAATATAGTATTAGGGGTAATTTTCTCTGCCTTAATGTGCATGTATAAATCAATGAAATGGTCATACATGAGTTTTAAAGCATTCACTTTTTCAGCTATTACTAATTTAGAACTACTCTTTTTCATATATAAATTTATTGGCGAGAGACATTACTGAACACTGGCACATAAATCTGAGAGCCAGGCTCAGGGCATAATGGATCTTTGAATAATCTCCTCGTGGTCAGCTTTGTTACCCTACTTTTGGGAGCTACCTGTGTTTAGCAATAGAGGGTAGAAGGTGGTTGGAGTTTTTTATTTTTTATTCAGAGCCACTTGCTACTTCTGTAGAGGAGAGAGGTGCAGATTGCAATGCTGGGCGGAATGTCAGGCTTAAGTGTAGGGGAAGGGAGTTGTAAACAGTGTAAGTATAAAATGGCAGGCCAGAGTCTTTTAAAATTAAAGTTATGACTATTGTCTCACCTCATTTCACTCTGCAAATTACCTGTGCAAATAAATGGTACCCATTCCATTGTTTTGCTTGTCACAAAGCTGGAAATTGGCCTTAACTACATAATTGAGAGGGTTTCATGCTGAAGGTGCAATCTTGTCTCAAGCAAGCACTTCACAGCTATTATTTTTAAGGAAAACCTTTATCCCTCTCCCCTAAATGCTACATATTGTGCTTACTGATCCCTACATATACAGTTCCTTTTGTGTCTGCTTCAGTTCAGTTTGTAGCTCATAAACACTTGCACTCACTTTAATTACTGTAATGCAGATTTTTGTATGTCCATGATATTTATAGGATGTTAGAAATTCTGCTTAGAGCAGCCAGAAGATGAGGAAGAATGGTCTAATGGTTAGGGCACCTGAGAGAGACATGGATTTGGTTCCTGTGTGACTTCAGACAAGTCCTTTGGTCTACCCTGTGCTTTTGTTGCCCATTTATTAAGGGCAACGAGAGGGCACAGCCAATACTTCTGGGGAAATTCTGCGCCAATGCAGAATTTTGTAGAAATTAATGCCCACAGAAATGTGCTGCTGGCTGCCTTGGGGGCGTGGGGCGGGGCCCCACCCGCCTCTGTCCCCTTTCCCCTGGGGAACAAAGCGCTAACCCCCAGCCTGGGGGCCTAGTCCAGCACTCGCAGCAGGCCCAGAGGCCTAGTCCAGCACTGCGGGGTGGGGTAGGGGGGTCCGGGCCCTCCCTTTCCACCGGACCCCAACCCAGGGCCCTGTTAGTGGTGGGTGGTTCCCACCACTGGCTCAGCGGGGGGTCCTCCCCCAAAACATGCTAAGCCCACTGGGGGGGGGGTTCCCGGCCCCTTGCCCTGGGTTACTTCCTACCCCCAATCTGGCGGCCGACGGAGGTCCCACCTGGCGATGCTGGGTTGCCGGCAGCAGCCTCGTCCGACGGTCCTGTCCCTGGGGCAGTGGCACAGGGGCGTCCTCTGCAGCGGGGCGGACGGCCACCGGGCGTCGGTGTTGGGGGCGTGCTCGCCCCAGGGCTGGTGGCAGCCGGAGCGGTGCCTCCTCCGGGTCTGGATCCGGCGGGACGGCCC